TGAGTAGGCTGATTTTGGCTTTATTTTGTGGCTGATTTTGGCTTTATTTTGTGCATGATTAGATGGAAGATGTTGGGGGAGTGAGGTGATGTCGTCTTTGATGGTATCCGATAGTCTAGGCGGCCGGAATTGGTAGTTTGAGGTATCATAGTTGGTGGCTATGGTGGTATCATGTTTCAGTTAGTTTGAGAGAGAAGAGTCCACCTCATCATATTTTGCTTATTTGGCCAATATATTGTACACACATGTGCCACATCAATTACACATCATCAAAAATTGTTTAATTTTGAGGTTGGTGATGGATTGGGTCAAAATTTACAAAGTTCGGTGATTATTTAGGGAAATTTGAAGTTCGGTGACCTCCTAGGAATTTTTGTACAAGTTCAGTGACTATATGGGGTATTAACCCGAACGAAGTAGGATACCATAAAATTGAGTCCAAAACAAATTCCAACTCCCAACGAGCTTCCAAAATAGAACTTCAACACGACATAGGACTCCAATAATATTTCAAATTTGAATTCTTCATGACGTGCACTTCAATTAGAATTCTTCAATTACTTTAACAAGGAATTCAGGCCACACCTGAATTCTAACAATCTCCACCTTTACACGAATTCCACCAAGGAAAGAACAGGCTTCTTCAACAATAACCAAAAAATTAATTTCTCCAACCAAACACAAAATACTCCACATCTTCCAATGACTCCAAACATTACTCAACAAAAATACACTAGATTCCCAAAAAATCATACTGATTTTAAAATTAAACAAACGGACAGTAACATACCGCAAAGCAGAATCAAACCTAAATGTTTTTAAAGAAGGCCCATTGTTAGATGTACACCTTCTATTACGCTGAAAGCATGCTCAACAAAATCATTATCCACATACCTTTTACCATTGAGTCACTCCCTAACAATTGAATACAATGGCACCTTAGGTGATGGTGGAGAAGCGACATTATCCATATCTCCCGAACTCCACTTAGCAGCATTTTTCAAATCTGATACTTTACGAGCTCCTAAAGGTATTGTACCAAACTGAATGTCCACCACGGTACTGAACCT